AATAGTTCTCTTTTCTACGATTTCTAATAGTAAAAGAAAAATGTTTTTTGATCGTTCGTTATTCGTTATTATATTGAAAATAATATTTTCTATCAAAAATCGTCAATACTTTAATGTTTCTATTTATTGCCATATTTTCTATTTTCTTCTCCACTATGTTGACACTATGTTGACCCTATTTTTTCTTTTTTTCTTTATTCTTGATGACTCAACAGTCTGAAAGGTAATTCACCAATTCAAATTCAAATTTCGAATCAATTACAAAACTTGTTTTTGTTCAATTCAGAAATCCCTTGGATAACAGGTAGTTTGAGGAAAAGAAAAGAAAAGAAAAGAAAAAAAAAGAAAACCGGGGATTGTTTCCCTTGGATACGACTCCTCCAACAGAGCTGAGGAGATTTCTCATACCTGAACACTTTTCTCCCCTTTTCAATTATGGCCTTTCAATTTTTATCTAATTATCGACCAATTTCACCGATACACTTCCTTATCGTCGTCTTGAAGTTTAACCTTTTTACTCTTCTAAAATGAGTAAAGTTTTCCAGAAGATTTTAGTTAAAGTATCAAGATTAGTACTAACTATCAAATAATAAAGTAAATTTTATCACTGCATCACTATTTATCTTACTAAATGGCTTTTGTCATCAACTCTTGTTCTCTTGATATCGTTACTTTTGTCCTGATCATTTAGGGCGCTTCATCCAGTTAACTTATTCATTCATTTAATGTTGTCATCGATATTTTCATCGTTTTTGTCAAATGTTTTTGTCAAATCAATCCAGTTAACTTCAAGAAATGTTGTTAATGATTTTAGGCAAGTTTAAATAACAGAAACCTAAGCCTAAGCCTAAGCCTTAACTTCAAGAAATGTTGTTAATGATTTTATGCAAATTTAAATTACAGAAACATTTGTTATATGTTAAAGCTTTCATTATGATATAAAATGTCTAGCTGACTAAGCTTAGCCTGAGCTCAGCCAGCTAGACATTTTATATCATAATGAAAGCTTTAACACATTATCTGTAATCAAGCTCATTTCAAGCTAGAGTGTGTTCCTTCCGAGTAAATAATTACTCGAGTAAAATTTGCATGAGTCATTTTTTACTTGATTAATCGGGGGTGGGATGAATGCGACCTTTTTTTTGCGCACCTGGACACCTTTTTTTTTGCTGGAAAAGGTCATAGAGCTTCAAAAATGTTTTCATAGAAGGGAATCGTATGCGTAGATTCCGAATTTCGACAAATCAGACCTCGCTGACACGTCAAATTTGGGCTGAAAGGCAAAAACTACGCAACTTAACGCTTTTCCGCAGTTTTTGCCTTTTAGCCCAAATTTGACGTGCCAGCGAGGTCTGATTTGTCGAAATTCGGAATCTACGCATACGATTCCCTTATATGGAAATATTTTCGAAGCTCTACGGCCCTGCCTAAGGCCTTTTCCAGCAGAAAAAGGTGCGCAAATGTCCCACCCTCGATTAATCAACGTTTTTTCGTCGAGTAAACTACGAGTAATCCTCTTTACACGTCGAGTAAATTGAATATCTTTACATTTGAAGAGAATTTCCCACCAAATCAGTTAAACGGCTGAGTATCTTTAAAAAGAGTCTTATATAAGTAAGTGGTCGTCCCTCGTGATTTTTTTGCGTCAATTTTTTGCAATAATTTTCGCCAAAAATACGGTAATTTCTTTCCAAATGTGCTTTTTAAAAAACGAATTAAAAAACGAATTACTCGCGTGGAACATACTCTATTTCAAGCTCTTATTACTCAAAAGCTTCTTGTTATCGATTTTGAGTGTCTCTTTCTTCAAACAAATCCCATTTTATGATTCTAACAATTTTCTTAAAATCAAGTAAATCAACTCTTATAAAATCAGTGTTTTAGTTGAAAACGATAAGCAAAACTTTTTGTTTATTTTTATTTATTTTAAATTGAATTCTATCTGAGCCTTTTTGGCTTGGAATCCCTTTATTCCCCTCTTCAATTTGCATGCAAATCCGTGTCACCTTTCCCACCTTTCCATTCGCCAGCCGTAAAAATCACAAACCAAACCCCAGAATTGTCATCCTGTCATCCTGTATCTCTATTTCCTTGTATCTTTTCATTATTTGATTCCTGAATCTTTCTTTCCTTTGAAAAGTTTATCAAAAAAATGCTTTCGAATCGATTTCGATTGTTCAAAGCTGAGTAAACACATTAGTCACCTGTATTTTGCGCGAATTCACGAATATTTCTGCAATTGTTTGAAAAACGGGAGCACACAGTTTTTGTAAATGTTCATGTCTAGATTTGGCTCTGAAAATAGTTTACTTATGATTAGATTTTTTTGGGAATATTAGACGATATGAACGATCAAAAATGGCAACCCAATCCATTCCTTATCTTTTCTGTGTACTGATACTGATATTATAATAAATTTGGAGATTTAAAACTCTTATAATATCGGTAGTTTGTCTTAAACTTACAATAGAAAAAATTCCTCTAAAAAAGATTGATCTAGAACAGATTTAGAAGCAAAGCTGCATGTGAACAGAGCAAGAGAGCTTCAATCTTTAATCTTCAGTCTTCAATCTTCAAATCTAAAAGCTTTATATATTCTTTCGTTATCCATCTCTTTGTTATCATCTTGTTATAGTTGAATAGAAAGAGAACAGAACAAAAAATGGTAACTCAATCCATTCCTTGTCTTTTCTGTGTACTGATACTGATATTATAATAACTTTAAAGATTTAAAACTCTTATAATATCGGTAGTTTGTCTTAAACTTACAATAGAAAAGATTTCTCTAAAAAAGATTGATCTAGAAAAGATTCAGAATCAAAACTGCAGGTGAACAGAGCAAGAGAGCCAAGAGACCCAAGCACTAACTCTAGTTGGACTTTGCAAATCTCTATGCTTCAATCTTTAATCTTCAATCTTTAATCTTCAATCTTCAATCTTCAAATCTAAAAGCTTTATATATTCTTTCGTTATCCATCTCTTTGTTATCATCTTGTTATAGTTGAATAGAAAGAGAACAGAACAAAAAAAAAATGGTAACCCAATCCATTCCATGTCTCTTCTGTGTGTCAATCTCAGTATAGCCACCCATTGAATAATTGAGCTAAAGCCGTTACTTTTTCTCAAATTTTCTCCTCTCAAATCTATTCACTTACTCTCTTTTTCTCTTTTCATTTCTTTACCCAACATTTTCCCCAAAATCTTCGCTAATTACTCCATAGCAGCTCCTTTTTTTACTCGTCCATTCGATTTTTCCAGTTTGAAGTTAGTTTTCTTATTTGAATTTTTAAATCTTTAGCTGTTTTATGTAAATTTTTCTAAACTTTTTGAAATGTAATCTCTAAAATAGAAGTCTATTCAGTAGTTTCAGTCAAGATTTTTGAAAAAAACTAAACATAAAAGTCTTACAGTAGTTTCGATACTGATTTAGAAGGCTTTAAAAAGATATTCAGCTAACTCTTTTTGTTATTTTTGTATTGATTCCAAATATCTAGATTTTCAGTGAATCAGTCACGAATTTTGGAAGTCGAACTGACTTTTTAGCTGAATATCTTTTTAAAGCAAAGCCTTCTTAGCTGAATATCTTTTTAAAGCCTTTTAAGCTGAATATCTTTTTTATTTGGTTGTTTAGTAACAAGTGTCCACGAATGATTTCTCGCTTTTGCCTCAAAAATTTCTTGATTTCGGTCAACAACCCTATTTTTCTCTTTCACTTTGGGAAATCTTTGGGGCAAAAAAAAGTAATTGCTCATTTTGTAGCCTTATGATTGGGAGAAGTGTGAAAGTGAAATTAGGCTCTCATTCAAGAGAGCTGCAATGGGTATGGGAATCACAAATTTGTACTATAGCCTATTTTAAGCCCACTGGACACACTTTGTAAAGAAATTTACAGCTTTAGTCAATATTAAGAAATAGATATGCCGTTTTATTTCAGATTTGGTGACTTGGGGAGACTTGGGGAGACTTGGGGAGACTTGGGGATGACTTGGGGAGACTTGGGATGACTTGGGGAGACTTGGGATGACTTGGGGATGACTTGGGAGTGATATGCCTGACTTCGAGAGTTGAAACAGTGCTTGTTAGATCTGGAAGACCTGTTAGACATGAAAAAAGAACTAGCTTTTACAGATTTGAAAGAAAAAGTAAAAGAAACTATCATTTCTGATTCGAAAAAGGCAAAAATCGAGAGTTTTCCGTTATTTTATGACTCGATTACTCCGTTTTTGCCTAAATCTTTGTAGACAATTCTTGAAATCTTGAAAAGCTTGAAATTTCCCTGTATTTCTGCCACAAATTCGACATCTTGTTAGAGGATTTTTCTTATTTAAAAAACACTAAGAGAATTGCGCGATATTTAAAAGAATCTGATTCCACAATAGAGCCCTTGTTAGCATTTCTATGCTGCTTTAAAAGCATTTATTTTAGCATTTATTTATTTTAAAAGCATTTAAAGCATTTATTTTAAAGCGTTCAGACTTTTTAAACGATAAACCTATGCAAATTTGGAAATAGAAAAAAATGTGAAAGACAAAGCTCTCTTCCAGTTTCACCTTTCAAAATCTCCCTCAAATCATGTTTACCTAGTCACTTTATTTCTTAAAACGACCAAAACAAATCATTCTTTTTTCTCATTCTTCTATAAAATCTCTAGTGTTTTTGTATCCTTTTTTCTTTCTTTTTCATGAAATGGCCACTTAGTGGGGACTTGTCACTTTTCTCTTTTCTCTTTCTCTTTCTCTTTCTCTTTCTCTTCTCTTCTCTTTCTCTTTTTCCTTTCTCTTTTTCCTTTCTCTTTTTCCTTTTTCTTTCTCTTTTCTCTTTTTCCTTTCTCTTTCTCTTTTTCTCTTTCTCTTTCTCTTTTTCCTTTTCTCTTTTCACTTGTAAATTTCAAGGTTAAACCTGGGTGAATAGAGCGTAAAACTTAGACTAAAGAAAGTCACATGTATCTTTTTCTTCTCATTTAATTCTTTTAATCCTTTAATCAAGATTATCTTTTGCAGATGCCCCAATCAGAAATGACATCGCCTGGGGATGGTGGAGGGTTGTGTTGTTGTCTTGGATCGAGCAGAGAAAAGGCTCATGATCAACCGGTTACTCTCATTAAAAGTGAGTGCATCAAAGCAATAAAGAAAATAATTTCAAAGTCGGTAAAAATGTGATGCTTGTAAAGCGCAAGAGTCAGTATCTCATTCAAATAGTATCTGATTATCAGCTTAAGCTATCAGTATCAGTATCTCATTCAAATAGCCTAAGCCTATTTGAATCAGATACTGATATCCAATGAATTTTTGACTTTTCTAGTTCGATTGACATTCAGAAAAACCCAAAGAACACTCCAAGCTTTTTCTAGTTTTGAAAAAAGGAATTAGAAATAATTTGAGATTGAAACTTGTGCTTGCAGAGTTGGAACTCAAAAATTTGTGCCCCCTGCCTCTGTGTGGAAAAATCTGGGCACCCGGGACTCGAACCCACGATCTTTCGCTTACCGGGCAACTGTGCTAACCACTACACCACAAAGCACCTGGCTTTCTTTGCTCCAGAGGGAGTTAAGTGCAGGATTCCAAGCGATGACGCTCAAACCAAAAAAAATATCAAATTGTTAGTATTTAAAAATTATGAATCCCTGACCGTAAACCGTAACTTACACCGTTACCGTTACATCTTACATTTTCAGGTGAACCAATCACTTCTCAACCAAACAGCAATTCCTTAGCCAGTCCTGGAGAACCACCAATGAACGGGATTCGAACGAAAACCGCTGAGCGAAGTATCGATGGTTTTGAGGAGGTTTCTCTGGAGATGAAGACACTGCAACAAGTTGGGAAAAATTTATTCACATTTCAAGGCTTTTAGGCTCTCCCGGATACAAAATCAAAGGATACACAGAATAAAGACACTTTTAATATTACTGATATGCAAATGGATGCCTTGTGTACGGAAGAGGAGAGCGGCGAGCAGATTGTTGAGGTTGGAGTGGTTTTGGAAACGAGATTTTGAATTAAATCGAGTATTTGGATTAATCAATCTGTTTTCGAGGCTTGATATCAACTAGAAACAACTTGAAATTTGATATCTATCAGCTAGAAAGTTGAGAATAGCTTTAGCTTCAGAACTTTGACAGCTGAAGACACTTTTTTAAGAGCAAAAGATTTTCAGGATGAGCCCGATATCTCAGCAAATGTTATTGAAGAGGTTGATGAGGCTGAGCTGAACCGTTTAACACATAAAGGATTCCCATCAGTGACACGAGACGAACAAAAGAGTGCCGATCAAGCGGATGATGTAAGAAATGATTGCTTAGTCAGTGATATACAATATTCTTTTCTAGGAATTGACTTTCAAGCAGATGATGGCTGAGGATTACGAAAGGAGAAAGAAAGAGTTGCTCAAAGAGATCGGTTTTTTTCACTAAAAAAAGACTTAGCTATTGAAGTTTTAGAGTCAGCTGAAGAGCAAGAGAGAGAAGAAAAAGAAGAACAAGAAAATGACAGTAATCGCTCGTTCTTGAATCTCGAATTGGAGAGTGATAAAGGATCTGAGGCAAGAGTTCATGCATCGCCGAGTATTCATCGAGTGGAGATGGCACAGAAAAATGAAGGTAATGATAAGCCTTTGTTTGAAGAACCTAGAATATTTTTCAGATCAACCATCAACATCTCATGAAGATTCGGATCGAGAGGGAAAAGAGGGAATGAGACGGAAACGGAGTGTCGAAGATGAGAAGCGGTTGGTGGAGTTGGGAGAAAGCTATAGAAAGCTATTATAGTTTAAACCGCAAGTATCATTTCCTACTTTATTCTTCATCTTTGAAAGATAACCTTTCAGAGAAATCGAACGTAATCGAGTTGAGCAAGAGTTGATGAACGAGATTGAGACGCTGGATTTGGAGGAAGTTATCGATGAAGATCACAAGTTGAAAATGTCATAAAACTTTCAAATATTGATTTCAGATGGGAAGAAAAGAAGCAATTATCGGAAAGAGAGCTGAAAAAAACGGATGAACAGTTTAGAGAGGTAAAGTTGAAGGGGGAATCATGGTCGAGATCGAGAAACTAAGCAGTAGATCTTTATTTGCTGAATATCTTTAATCTTACTTTAAAATGTAACAACGAAAGCCAGGTTTAATATAATAATAATAGAACAATAAGTTGATAAATAATAAAAAGTTAATCGAAAAGTATTGATTAGAGTGTGTCACACTCACTCACACTCTAATCAATAGTTTTCGATTGACACACTCTAATCAAAACTATTGATTAGAGTGTGAGTGAGTGTGACACACTCTAATCAATAGTTTTCGATTGACACACTCTAATAAAAACTATTGATTAGAGTGTGAGTGATACATTTTTTTTAAAACGTACACTTGCCAAAAATTACCGTACTTTTTTGACGAAAATTATTGCAAAAAATCACGAGCACTGAGTTATATACGTTTTCTTTTAAAGATTCAAAATTATTTCAAATTTTAGGTGGTACCTCAACTGTCAGCAAGGTCCGGTAATGAGACAGATGTCGAAAGTGATGACGAGGATGATGAAGAAGAGATTATGATTGATCGACATACAGGTACAATCAATAGTAGAGTGTGTTCCTTGCGAGTAAATAATTACTCGAGTAAAATCTGCATGTATTTTTTTACTTGATTAATCGACGTTTTTTCGTCGAATAACTACGAGTAATCCTCTTTACACGACGCATAATCGACGTTTTTCGTCGAGAACTACGAGTAATCCTCTTTACACGACGCATAATCGACGTTTTTTGTCGAATAACTACGAGTAATCCTCTTTACACGACGCATAATCAACGTTTTTTGTCGAGAACTACGAGTAATCCTCTTTACACGACGCACATGGGCGCGAAAATGCGTTTTCTATAGGATTTTTGTCGTTGTCGAGTTACGAGCCCCAAACTGCAGGGTACCACAAAATTTCCCATACAAAATGATCAAAAACCGCTAAAACTCAATTTTAAAAATGTCTGTCAGAGGGATTTGAAAAATTCCTTCAGATTCGGAATCAGCACAATTTTCCGCATCTAAAAAAGGTACTCCCAGAAAAATCCGATAGAAAACGCATTTTTGCCTTATTTCGCGCCGATGTGCGACGAGTAAATTGAATATCTTTAAATTGGAAGGGAATTTCCCGCCAAATCAGTTAAACGACTGAGTATCTTTAAAAAGAGTCGTATATAAGTCGTCGCTCGTGTTTTTTGCAATAATTTTCGCTAAAAGTACGATAATCTTCGCCAAGTTTGCGTTTTAAAAAATGCATTACTCGCGACGAACACACTCTAATCAATAGTTTTCGATTAAATTTTTATTATTTATTAACTTATTATTCTATTAAATTCAGACACTTGTTCATTTTTATAGAAAATTTCATACCTATTCAATTTCAAACTTTCAGTAACAAATTTCAGAAACTCTCCCTGTCCATCGAGTGCCCGTTAGTCAGATGTATTCAAAAATGAGTGAATCCGATGATGAGAGTGATGATGAAGAAGATGTAAAAAACTTTTGATTTCTTATAAATATCATAAAATCTCAGAGAGAGGTTATCGTGCCTCCGCCGAGGAAAATTCATCAACAAAAGGATACGGAAATTGTGGCCAGTTCAGATGAGGATAGTGGCAATGGGAATACAAGGTAGGGGAAAGGGGAAAGGAGGAGAAGTGCTAGGGGAAAAGAGGAGGAAATGAAAATGAAAATGAAATTAAAAATGAAGAAAATGAAAATTTCATCGCGAAAATAGACTGTTTATGAGTGGGATCTTTTATAAAATATTTACTAATTAATAAAATAACTAAATAATAAAATAACTAAATAACCAAATAGTACAATGTTCTAGTAACGGTAATGCTCCATTACTAGATCTATTAATTATCCATTTGTAAATAAATATTGTACGGTAATAGTTGCACTCTTTAAAAGCTGAAAGAAAAAGTAATACTTTCAATGTCTTGCACTTTTACTAATTACTATTAATAAGCTTGTTATAGCTTATTATAGCATATTATAGCTTATCATAGCTTATCATAGCATATTATAGCTTATTATAGCTTATTACCGTATTTACTCTATTAGTGGGGTCCTCTCTAATAGTGGGGTCCTCTCTAATAGTGGGGTCGTCTGGAGGGGGGTTGAAAAAATAGTGGGGTCCTCTCTAATATTGGTAACGAAAGTGATACATCAATTGTTGATCTCTTGGATTAGTTCTTTTACTGTTTGTTAATGTTTTGTTACGGTTAAAGCTAAATAAAATATGAAGCCAAACTTGTTTTGTCAAGAATTTCGGAGAAAAATTGATATCTTTTCAATTTAAAACTTTGGTTTTATGTCCTTTTAAATTTCTCTAATAGTGGGGTCCTCTCTAATAGTGGGGTCGTCTGGAAGGGGATTGAAAAAATAGTGGGGGACCCCACTAATAGAATAAATACGGTATAGCATATTATAGCTTATTATAGCTTATTATAATACTCTTAGCTTATTATAATACTCTTTTAACATCGTGTATCTTTTTAAAAACCCATTCGTCTATTCCAAATCGTTGGAACACTAATATTCTGTTTTGTAGTAAGGATAAAAATGTGAAAAATTAGATTACGAAAACATAATGATACAAATATGGTCAAGAATTTAGACCGGACAGCTCTTCGGAGAAAGAAAATGCCACTCACTCGGATTCTCCTCAAATCAATGATCATCACATTACTCGAGTCTCCCTAAAGAGTAACGGCACTTCAACGGTTGTCGTTGACGGGGATACGGGTGGAGTGAGAGTTTCACTCGATCATCCACCCAATCAAAAATCGTTGGAACACCAATTGACTGATGATGAGTTCAGTGAGAAATTGATCTAAAGCCTGAAATTGATCTAAAGCTTGAAATTGTTCCGATTCTAGTCACTCCATGGTACAAGTTTTCAGCTAGCTTTTTAGACTGTAAGGTTAAAGGTTTTTGAAAAGCTAGTCGCTTTGCTTTATCCCAAACATTCGTCATATCCGAAATGACACCGCCAACGGGGGTTTTTTTCTTGTGAATTTACTTAATCAAATATTCAGCCATTCCCGGTGTACTCTTTTGAGAAATGGAAAGATTTTAAAGATATTTAAGTAAAGTTATTTAATTTACATACCGTAAATACTGTAATAGTACCCCACCGCCCTCGTACAGTCGCGTAGTCGCAAAAGTTTTTTAGTATTTCATTTTTTGCAAAGCACCCGTACTTTCAAAAAATGCGTCTTTGGTATCAAAAAATAGCCCTGAATTTCAGCTTTCATTTGATACTTAAGCACACACTGTAGCATAAAAGAGTGGCGAGAAAAATGCGTTTAAAGTTAGGCTACGCGACGCTCCGACCGTCATTATAGGGAAGCGTAGTCGCAAATGTTTTTTAGTATTTCATTTTTTGCAAAGCACCCGTACTTTCAAAAAATGAGTCTTTGGTATCAAAAAATAGCCCTGAAATTCAGGGCTATTTTTTGATACCTAAGCGCGCATTGTAGCATAAACCAGTGTCGAGAAAAACTCGTTCAAAGCTAGACTACGCAAAACTCCGCCCCGTCATTATGGGGCTGGGGTACTATTACAGTATTTACGGTAATAGATTTGGTCATTCAGAATCTATTGTAATATTTGTAAGAGAAAAATATATTTACGGCAAAACGCTTTCAATTCTGTTTCGACTTTCGATTCTTAAACTTAAGTAATCTCTTTGAAGTTCTTAAACTTAAGCAATCTTAAGCAAGAAGCAATCAGCAATCTATTCGAGACTTAAGCAATCTTAAGCACCAAGCAATCAGCAATCAGCAATCTCTTCTTCACCCTCTTTTTCAAAAGAGTACATTTTTGATTGACTTCTCCCTAAACTCTCTGCATAATTCTCCTAAAATGATGAAGAAAATTCAAGCTTTCTGTAGTATTTCTATATTTTAAAACCCTAACCCAGTCGAACTTTGAAACAAAGAATTTGAAATTCTAAAAAGTGTCAGCCAAATGCAATCGGTGGCCGCTTAGGGCGGTTACGCAGAAAATTCGAAGCATGTTTGTAGGTTTGTTATATCGAAATTCGATTGTGTTATCGATTTGCCCGATTACTGTAGAAGATTCCTTTCTTACGGTCTGTTTCGGTCTGTTCTTTCCCAAAATTTCTTCCCAAAATTTCTTCCCAAAATTCCCCATAGATGAGTTGCTCAATAAAATCTTTTATTTCTTTTGTTTCTTTTGTTTCTTTTAAAAGAAAAGCTATTCAGTTTTGTTAAATAAATTGCTTTTTAAACTGCTTTTTAAATGTAAATTTATTATTATTTTTTGGATAAATAAAGTTTACGAATTTTTGGTTTACGAAAATACAATTTTTAATGGTTTTTTGTTTTTTTTAAGAAAATAATGTAAAAAATTCGATATTTATTGTATAAAATCGGATTTATTAAATATTTATACTGAAAAATCGAATTTATTAGTTATTTATACTGAAAAATCAGATAATTTTGAAAAATGAAACTGAAAATGTAAGCATAAAACGGACAAATTCTTAAAGTGGCTTTATTTTTGGCCACATTTCCCGTGTTATTGTTATTGTTGTTGTTAAAAATAAAATAAAATAAAACAAAATAAAATTAGAAACCCATCATGTTAACAAATCAAGAATACAAATAATAAAAGATTTAGAAGAAAAAAAAAAGTTTTTAAAAACTATCACAGTGGAATATATATATATACTTTATTCAGTTGAATAGCGACAAGACAAAATCACAATAATTACCCGGGACACCACTCAAAACACACCCAAAAGATAAATGGATACCTCAAGAAAGAATCACAGAGCAGTCAAATCAATTGCCGAAATTGCGGCTTTAAATCTAGCCAAGGTGGAAATATCACGAACATGAGGGGGTAAAATGTTCCAGAATTTAATAACTCGATTAAAAAAGAAGAAACTGTGGGGGCTTTTAGAGGAAACGGAAGGCTGGCGTATGAGAAAAGGCCCCCTTCTGGAGGCGCCCCGTAGAGAGCCGAATTCAAAGAGACCAGAAAAAAGGGGGTCGGGATGAATGCCTTTAACAATTTTGAAGCATTCCACTAAATCGATGATAAGGCGGCGTTGGTGTAACATTTCAAGACCAAAAAGTTGCAATCTATCAGAATAAGTAAAGGAGGAGAATTTGTCAAGATTAATTTTATAAAGAGCAATTCTGGTGAAGTGCCTCTGAACACGTTCTATTTTTTGAATAAGATTTAATAGGGAAGGAGACCAAACCAGAGAAGCGTATTCACGAATTGGGTGGACATAAGCAACAAAACACATCCGATAAGTTTTGATGTTAGGTATGGTAATAGACCTGAGGATACGGTTAGCACTTACGGAGGCCTTATTACACATGGATTCAATGTGAAAACGGAAACTAAGAGGAGGACTAATAAGGACTCCCAAATCACGCAGATATCCATTTTTTTCTACCAAACGAATAGGATGATTATCGAGGGTTAAAGGAAGAGAAGATTTGCCAGTGGAAAAATGAGAAGACTTAGCTGGGGAGAGATTTAATCCCCAAGTTTTAGACCAGTTTGCAATTAGTTGGAGGTCTTGATCGATCATTCGAAAGTATTCAGATTTTGAAACAAAATCTTTGCAAAAGGGAATTTTAAATGTGATCTTTACGTCGTCGGCGAAAAGCCAAAGAGAAACGTCCTTGGAAAAGAATTTTAAGCTAGGGAGATCATTAATAAAAATAGTAAAAAGGAGAGGGCCCAAGATAGACCCTGAGGGACACCGCTGGGACAAGGCAAAGGATTGGAGAGGGAATTAAGAACTAAAACTTTGAATGATCGGTTTTCAAGAAAGTTCATAATACAATTTACAATCGAAGGATTAATTTGATACGCTGACAGTTTGACTTTGAGACGAGAATGGGAAACGGTATCAAAAGCCTTCGCATAATCTAAGAAGACAGCTTCAAGCTGGACTTTATGATTTTGCTCAATGGCGTCAACAAAGTTTCGATAAGCAAGAATAAGGTTCGACACAGTTGACTTATTTTTTAGGAAACCGAATTGAGATGGGGAGAATAAATTGTGCGTTTGGAAATGGGAGATAATCTTGTCTTTCAAAATAGTTTCGAAGAGTTTGGAAACAGGAGAAGTAAGACTAATCGGACGGTAATTAGAGAAAACATTTTTTGGTAAGGTTTTATTGATGGGGACGACCAAAGATTCCTTCCAAATTGAGGGGACCTTGCCTTGTAGGAGAATCTTGTTAAACATCTTGCAAAGGGGAGAGATGAGGATTCTAGAGAGTTTGTTTAGAAAAAATGGAGAAATCCCATCTGGACTGGTGGTTTTCTTTGGCTTTAAGTTTCTAAAAGCTTTCTCGACATCCATAGGAAGAATCATAAAGTCTGGTTGAAGTGGAACGGTTTTACTAAGAGAAAAAGGTGGACTGGGAGAGTTTAAATTAGAAAACGTAGAATGAAAAAATTTGGCAAATTCATTCGCAATGATTTTAGGATCAGAGATAAAGAATGATGAAGAATCTAAAAACCGTTTTGGCAGAGTTGCGCGATCCTTAGGTTTAGAGTTTATATAAGAATAGAAACGTTTGGGGTCACCAGAATTTATTGCCCTCTTTTCAACATTCGCTTCGAATTTTCTACAGAAGCATGATAGGGTTTTTTGAGTCTTGAGAAATAAAGGATCCTCGGAGGGATTTTGATGAGAAGACGAGGATAAAATGCGATCTATCTTGGATTTAGCTCGTAGAATGTGATTTGGAAGAGAGCAAGGGGTGTGGGAGCAACTAGATTCGATAGCTGCGAGGAGAGAGTTTGAAAAAAGAAGATAGTCATCATCAATTTTTGAAGAAGGGGAGCAAAAATTGGAGAAGGAAGCTTGAAAATCAAGAAACCTTATTGCCACCTTATCAAAGTTAGTGCTAAAATGACCACACCGTATCGCTTCTGGGTTTTTCGTAGGGCTCTCACAACGGATGACGCACTTGATGGCATAGTGGTCAGCGCCGGGAAGCGGGGCAATTCTCTTGACGCCAACGACTCTGTCCTCGATATTGGTGAGCACGCAATCTAAAATAGAGCTAGAGCGCAGGAAAGTAGGAAAACGATTTAAAAGAGAAAGAGAATTTGCCGAGATGAATTCTTTAAAACGCAGAGAAGGTCGGTGATATAGATCAAAGTGTGGGGAGCGGTTTACGAGGGAGATCTTACTATTAAAATCGCCTAGGATGACATTTAACTTTGAGGAATAAAGAAAGGGTTCAATGAACGAAAACAATAAATTTGTATTATCAAGATTAACATCGGGGGGTTTGTAAACTAAAAAAAGTCTGAAAACGTATGGAAAAAGTATATCGACAATGAGAATTTCACAACCAAAAGAAGATTTTGACGCAACTAATTGATGAGGAAGAGACTTGTCCAACAAAAGAGCAATTCCTCCACCAGTAAGTTTACAAATAGAATTTCTGTCACAACGAAAAATGCTATAGTTGTTTTCGGGGTCAAGCAAGGAAGAGCAAATAGATTCATTTAGCCAAGTTTCAGTAATGGCATAAACGGGACAAGATTTTGTTCGGGTAAATGTTTGAAAAGTGGCCAAACGATTGGAAGAATTGGAGACGATACTATGAGCATTACAATAAAAGATTTCTAAAAGGGAACGAGACAAAAAATTAGGGGCTACGAAAGGAATTGGTTGAAAGAGCGGGGGAATGATGTGAAACGACTTTAACAAATTTTGAAGAGGGAGATGAAGTGTTTGAAGCGGGCGGTAGTTGGTTGAGACTGCGACACACGATCAACGATTACTCCTCGGTCACCGTCACGAGAGACCACTTTCCGCCGGCGTGATGAGGCTTGATTGGATGGAAGGGTAGCAGTCCTTCGTTGGGGGTTTGTCTTCGGTGGACGACCTCTTCGTCTGGTTGTCATCTCTGTGCCGTGTCCAATTGCGTCAGGAGCACCATCACCTCCTTTTATTTCCTGATTCACGGCGGGCGAGTCACCCTCGACGGCGGCGAGGTGATGTGACTTCTGCTTGTATCGCGAAGGATCCGATGCTCGAATGACACAGAAACGGGCATACCACGGGAGCGAGGACTTTGGATGGACACCAAACGATTTGACGAGGTTCGACGAGGCATGCGACGAGGCGAGGACGACCTTGAAAGGTCTTGGTCGGACAAGATTGTAGATACCCATACGGTACGAGTGGAGGACGATCGCGTCGAGCCCATACGCCGTTAGGATTCCCTCGAGGAGCCATCGGTCAGCGTTTCTCCGTGACATCGAGTCCATCGCTGGGCACAACATCGCTTCAGGCAGTCCCTCGATGACGACGTGGTAGGACGGGTCGAGCTGCTTGGCCAGTCCGACGTCGAACGTGAAGTCGGGCGGTCTCCATCGCGGCGGTGGCAACGGGTGGAGCGGGTGGTAGCCAGAGGACATCTCACCGTCGAATATACCTCAAACTCAAACTTGGGTAATTAAACCGATCAGCAATCAGCAATCTCTTCTTCACCCTCTTTTTCAAAAGAGTACATTTTTGATTGACTTCTCCCTAAACTCTCTGCATAATTCTCCTAAAATGATGAAGAAAATTCAAGGTTTCTGTACTATTTCTATATTTTAAAACCCTAACCCAGTCGAACTTTGAAACAAAGAATTTGAAATTCTAAAAAGTGCCAGCCAAATGCAATCGGTGGCCGCTTAGGGCGGCTACGCAGAAAATTCGAAGCAAGTTTTAGGTTTGTTTATATCGAAATTCGATTGTGTTATCGATTTCCCCGATTACTGTAGAAGATTCCTTTCTTACGGTCTGTTTCGGTCTGTTTCTTTCCCAAAATTTCTTCCCAAAATTCCCCATAGATGAGTTGCTCAATAAAATCTTTTGTTTCTTTTGTTTCTTTTAAAAGAAAAGCTATTCAGTTTTGTTAAATAAATTGCTTTTTAAACTGCTTTTTAAATGTAAATTTATTATTATTTTTTGGATAAATAAAGTTTACGAATTTTTGGTTTACGAAAATACAATTTTTAATGGTTTTTTGTTTTTTTTAAGAAAATAATGTAAAAAATTCGATATTTATTGTATAAAATCGGATTTATTAAATATTTATACTGAAAAATCGAATTTATTAGTTATTTATACTGAAAAATCAGATAATTTTGAAAAATGAAACTGAAAATGTAAGCATAAAAAGGACAAATTCTTAAAGTGGCTTTATTTTTGGCCACATTTCCCGTGTTATTGTTATTGTTGTTGTTAAAAATAAAATAAAATAAAACAAAATAAAATTAGAAACCCATCATGTTAACAAATCAAGAATACAAATAATAAAAGATTTAGAAGAAAAAAAAAAGTTTTTAAAAACTATCACATTGGAATATGAGGCGATGATATTAAAGTGTGTACAAATTGATGAAGAAAGGGAATAATGAATGAAGAAAGAAAGAGAAGGAAATAGAGAGAAAGAGAAAGAAAGAGAAAGAAAGAGAAGGAAAGAGAAGAAAAGAGAGAGAAAGAGAAGGAAAGAGAGAAAGAAAGAGAAAGAAAGAGAGAGAAAGAGAAAGAAAGAGAAAGATGGCAAGAGAAAAGGGAAACCGATCAGACACCGATTTAAACATAAGAATTACAGAAATTTGCATATTTAGCTGCATAAAATTCGCATCCAATTTTGCCTTTAGCCCTATCGTAGCCTAGAGAGTCTAGAAATCAAGTCCAGAGAGTGCTATAACATAAACGCATCCTTCGTAGTGCATTCATTTTCTCACAACAACAAGGCTTTTCTGTGAGAAAATTGAGAAGCTTTGATGTGCTAAAAGGATGTGTTTCCGTTGATTTCAAGCACAAAGTACACTTCGAAACGCCGCCTGAATCTAGTAAGCTAGTAAAAGTAAAAGCTAACTTCTAGTAAAAGCTAACTTCTAGTAAAAGCTAGTAAAAGTATAAGCTAGCTTCTAGTAAAAGCTAGTAAAAGTATAAGCTAGCTTCTAGTAAAAGCCAGCTTCTAATAAAAGCCAGCTTCTAATAAAAGCCAGCTTCTAATAAAAGCTATTAGATTAGATCTTTAGCTATTTGTTTTAGATTTTAAATAAGAATGTCAAGAGATATGCAAATTTCTTTTTACCAGCAAAGTACAAGCACTCCATGAACAAGAATAGAACCAACCTTTAACAATTGTTAAGTAAAATTCGAGAGATTTATAGAAAAATGATTATGTCAATGATTTGATAAAATGCGAGAACTCGTAGAGGAAAAGATTCAATTATGTCAAGAAAAAAAACCCTATTTAAACACGTCTGAGTATCACATGAATGTCGTCGATGAAAAATCTGAATCTTTTGGATCATTTCCCGTTTCTGATTTAATTATTTCACCTTGTAAACTTTCGAAACTTTCCGGGAACAAAATCGGGGAAGTGAACGGCGTTAAAACAATCCAATAAGTGGCCGAGCTCCTCGTTTGTCGTGTATTCAATGACGAAATCGCTAAAGAAACATTAGCTTTTTCATTTTCAAAAGCTATAAAAAGCTAAAGCTAAATTAGCTACAATAGTTCAAGGGGAAAAAGGTCTTTTGAAACCGGTAAAGAAACTTTTGAATGGACAAATGGGATCAATAATTCAATGACTTCAATGGATTGAATGGAAGATCCATAACTTTCAATCAATGAACAAATTTGGATCAATAATTCAATGAATTCAATGAATTCAATGAATCTTCCATAACTTTCAATCAATTAAATCCAATTCCTAATTGCTAATTGGTAAAATGAATATCGCCAATCGATTCACCGACCCCGAAAACCCTAGCGAGCAAATTTACAGTTGGATATCTTCTTTGAACCATAAACAAAGCAAGAGAGAAATCACTGTGAAAATGGCTGACGAGGTGTTCTTGGTGCGCGCCCGCAATTGCTCGCCTTCTGGCAAACCGCTCCGGTATAAAGTGCTTCCCTTTTACAATTGGTAAAGGGGCAAAAGTGATAAGCGACTGAGCGATTTTCGCCCCTCTTAGCTAAGCCTCCCTTTCACCTCTGATCCATTCCCGCAAACAAATTGTCGATCAACGTCGAAAATCCGCCTTCCTTACAAGAACTCCACAAAGATGTCTGAAATTTGAGAATATTGAATTTTGACTAAAATTTGAGTACTTGATTTGCTCCAAAAACCGTCGAATTTCGCATTCTTTCAAAGATAGATGCTTGATAGTTTTCCTGTGTCGAGATCGGTTTTAGATCTAGCTCGTATTCAGAATCGCTGGAAATATGGCATTGGTTGAGTATTTTTGAAATGCATTCAGCTTGAAAACTCACCTTGCTCTTCTCTCCGCTTTTTTCACCGGCAAATCGGTAGCGCCGACATTCGAGTCGGGATTTGTGATTGACGAACGAGAAAGATCAAAAACTAGCGCTTCCCAATCTTTCATCGACCAATGATGGAGTCGGTGACAACAATCTGAAATGCATCTCTTTATATAAAAGAGCATGCTTGATAGTTTTCTTGTGTTGATATTATATGTCCGTCTGTTATATATATTATATATATATGTTGTGTCCGATTTAGATTTCCGTCCGATTTAGATTGAACTTATCGCGGAGGTCCGATTTAGATTACAGTCTATATCGGACTTCCGATTTAGATTCAATCTAAATCGGACGCAACATATATAAAAGAGCAGTGTCCGTCTGTCTGTACAGCCTTTTCTCAGCCATTTTTAAGCCAAAAAAGCTGAAATTTGTTCAAAAGCTTAAAAATCTATATAGTTGTGCCAGAAAAACAAAAAAGTCAACGATTCAGTCAACGGGGATCGATCCCGAGGCTGTAGATGGAGCGTGCAGGTTGTAGACACGCGCGCTCCCGACTGCGCCACGGTCACTCATAAGCCCCCCGAGAAAAACCCCCTATTTAGCTATTGGTTAAAGGATAAAGGGATGCTCAAATAATATGGTTTATGCTGAACACACAGAATTTCTCGCTGATTTCGAATTTGGCTTTATTTTTGCTAGATTCTGGTCAGGATTTTTATGTAAGTAGATTTACTTCTTAAGAAACAATCACACAATTTCTACAGGCATGGAGTTCGATCCCCGATGACTGATGATGACTGACTCAATTCTTAACCGATCTCATTCTCACCGGGATTCCATCGAATCCCCCTCGTGTAGGCGTCTCTCTTCATCAAATATGCGTAAGCGGGTGAGTGATTCTCGACTCGATAGATTAAATGAGGATCATGGGAGAGACGGAGGAAACCTAAACACTTCAAATTCATTTGTTTCCTGCAAATCTAATTCTCTCGTTGCAAACCTAATTCTCTCGTTGCAAACCTAATTCTAAAGTCTATTTTATAAATCAAATTTCTCACCATTGTAGTTGAATCCCTGTATAATTGCGATCTTTTGATCGGCTCGAAAAATCGGCAATAGTTGAGAGACAGATGAAAGGAAATCATTCGTGAGAACTGTCTAAACCAAAATTTCAGTAAAAAAACTTTTATACTTAGATAATATTTAATAATAATCGATTTTCTAATGTTTCAATAAGCCTCACATCTTCCTCGATGACGATCACTTCGGTTGCTTTAGGGAAAAGAGCAAAAGCTGCCTCAACAGACATTCGAACGATTTCTGGAAGATGATCGAATCGATTTATTGATATTTTTATAATATACTATTTAAATTATATATGTCGTAGCCGCTAACGAATGAGGGTATTTCCGGGCATCCAATCAAAAAGTCACCCACATATTCAGGGCAATTCTCAAATGCGAAAACAGCGACCGAGTTCAGCTGAAGTCGTTCTTCGCCCTCTTTCTCCTAGCTTTGAAAAACAAATGTTCAATGTAGCTTTACTTTAAGAATCTACATTAAATTGGCTACAAAATGAGCTATTAGGCAAGTTTTTTGGTTGAGTAGAAAACTTTTTATAGCCATTTTAGGGCATTTTTGAACCTAAACTTTGGGGGCTCAAAAAAAATTTTCTCCTGAACCAAATGAGCTAATTTCAAAAATTTATTATAAAATATATGTATTATGAACATTTTTTATGTGGGTGACTTTTTGATTGGATGCCCGGAAATACCCTCATTCGTTAGCGGCTGAATTTCGTAAACGGCTACGACATATATATTTAAATGATATTTTTATGGAAATCTCAAAAGCTTCTTCAAAAATCAACCATTATAATCGCTGCTTGCGTTTAATGAGAGCGGTTTCGCGTGGAAAAGAGTCGCCAAATCAGCCGCTTCTTTATATTGAGAGTTGTGTGCGACAAGGAGCATCTAAAGAAGGTTATCGGGCATTTGATACGCACCCCACCCTTTTCCCATTTTCAATCCAACTTTGAACTCAAATATCTTTGAGTTAAGCAGTTTAATTTAAAGACTCTTGATATCATTAGATGTGCCAAGTCTTTCTCTGTCGATTGGTAAAAAAACTATTTAAATTGAAAAGACCAACATCAAGAAATTTGAGCTTAAATTTAGATTGCTAATGGGAAAAAAGATGGAGCGTATCTAATGTCCCAAAATCTCTAAAGAAAGTAATAAAAGGGAAACATTTTCTAAAAGTCACTTAATTTTTGAAAGATATCGTAATCAAAGCTGAAGCTTTCAGATAATAAATCTTGGTAAAATTACCTGAGCTTTTCCTCCTTGAATCATACGAAAATGAGCTGATCAAAAGTAAACTAGCGTAAGTTTTTAAAAAAAAAAAATAGATTCCTTTTAGAAAAAGGATTGGCTTTAAAGAGTATAAAAGTTGTTTAAAATCTGGGGTAGGCTAATTTCCGCAATTTTTTTTGCGCAACTGGGTCATTTGCGCAACTGGGTCGTTTGCGCAACTAGGTCTTTTGCGCAAATCACCATAACTTTCTTCCAAGTGGACCAATCTTTATGCTTTTGGTGTCATTTTGTTGCACTTATTGAGATCTACAAAATATCACCAAAAGCATAAAGATTGGCCCACTTAGAAGAAAGTTATAGCGAGTTGCGCAAAAAAAATTGCGGAAACTAGCCTACCCCTTTCTGATGAATAAAAGACAAAAGGATAACAAATAGAACGTTTAAGAGGCTTCTCCCAAATTTTAAAGTATTCTAAAGTTGAGTATAACTTTAGAATCACTCTGGTTCTTAGATTTCTGATGGGGTAGGCTAATTTCCGCAATTTTTTTTGCGCAATAGGGTCATTTGCGCAACTGGGTCGTTTGCGCAACTCGATATAACTTTCTTCCAAGTGGACCAATCTTTATGCTTTTGGTGTTATTTTGTTGCACTTATTGAGATCTACAAAATATCACCAAAAGCATAAAGATTGGCCCACTTAGAAGAAAGTTATGGTGAGTTGCGCAAAAAAAAAATTGCGGAAATTAGCCTACCCTTAAAATCTACTATAAATACTGTAATAGTAAAGTCACCTAGTCGTAAGGTTTTTTATTTCTTCATTTTCAAAGCGCTCTTACTTTCAAAAATGCTTCTTTAGTATCAAAATTTCAGCTATTTTCAATTTCAGCTATTTGATACCTAACGCATTACTTAAACCAATGTCAAGAAAAACGCCCTTAAAACTAGACTACGCAACACTCCACAACGTCATTATGGGACGGAGTTACAGTGTTTACAGTAAGTAATCTTGTTTACCTGTGTGTTGATCCCCGGTTGGGCCATCACCGACTCCAAAGTGACACGTAAAGAGTTGAAATCGATGCCTTAATTGGAAAATTGATTTTTCTGAATATTATGACAGAGTATGACGCGACACGCGTAGTCCTTGTTTTTCCAAACTAAATCATTTTTTTTTCTCGGGAGCCGATTTTGTTTGGGTTTTTTCTAAAAAAATGGCTGTCGGTTCAGAGGTTTACAAGAAAAAAATGATTTAGAAAAGAAACGATTACACAACGCTCCAATGTCATTCGAAAAATACGGTATTAATCTTTAAGAAGATCAAATTTCCCCATTTACCCGTAGCAATAATGATGGGGACGTTGAAAATTGGATCCGTGTGTCGCTCGGTTTTCAGCAATGGTCGTGGAGTGATCGGAGTATCAACAACTTTGTCTAAAAATTATTAAAATTAAAAATCTTTCTCGAATTTTCGGATTCACCATTGCAAAAGCCATCGTGTCCATCGTATTTCGCGCAAAAATGTCGCTTCGGAATGTTTTGCCGAACGACGCGCATCATTGAGTCCTTGTGGCCGGATACTGTAATTTTGAAGTTAAAATATTTCAAACTTTAAAGATTTAGCTTTAAATTTTAAAGCTTAAGGCAGTTTTTAAGAAGCTACCATAAATACTGTAATAGTACCAAGCTTAAGAAGCTACCAGAAGCAGTAATTGAGTACCAAAAGTACCTACCGTAAATACTGTAATAGTACCCCACCGCCCTCGTACAGTCGCGTAATCGCAAAAGTTTTTTAGTATTTCATTTTTTGCAAAGCACCCGTACTTTCAAAAAATGCGTCTTTAGTATCAAAAAATAGCCCTGACTTTCGGCTTTCATTTGATATTTAAGCACACACTGTAGCATAAAAGAGTGGCGAGAAAAATGCGTTTAAAGTTAGACTACGCGACGCTCCGACCGTCATTATAGGGAAGCGTAGTCGCAAATGTTTTTTAGTATTTCATTTTTTTCAAAGCGCCCGTACTTTCAAAAAATGCGTCTTCGGTATCAAAAAATAGCCCTGAATTTCAGCTATTTTTTGATACCTAAGCGCGCATTGTAGCAGAAACCAGTGTCGAGAAAAACTCGTTCAAAGCTAGACTACGCAACACTCCGTCCCGTCATTATGGGGGTGGGGTACTATTACAGTATTTACGGTAAGATAATTGAGTCGTTTATTTAAAAATTTAAGCATACACGAAATCGGCACACAAATCCACGTTTTGATCGGCGTCGCCCAATTGTTCCCCGTCGGGTAGTTGAGATCCTGAAAAGAGATTTTTAAAAAACCTATCTACAGTAAGATCACTAGGAAAATAAAATCTTATTTAGAATTTGCTAATTTGCTAATTTGCATATTCAAAACCTCAAACGGTGTGTACGCGTTGATGCCCTTTTGGCCGACAAAGTACCAAGCGGCCCGAAATTTGATCCGATCGATCATTGAAGAGCCCAACTCGTAAAGAATCCTTTTCGCCATTTCGGATAACCTAAGAGTTTTAGAATAGAATATATATAAAATAAAATAAAGCTAATCCATTACATTGTGGACGCTTCATCGAAGCTCACAGCGGCCACGATTTGGCCAGGCTCAACGAGATCCAAAAAGCGCTCAAGGCCACTGCTTTCTGAAATGGAACTGAAATGGAAAACTGTGGACGCTTCATCGAAGCTCACAGCGGCCACGATTGTTAGGTAAAATGGAACTGAAATTTCTCAACAATTTGCATCTGACTGTTTGAAATTTGTTAAAAAGTCTTAAAATATAATATAGTTATGTTATTCAAAAAGGAAAATTAAAGATTGAGTGGCGCTACAGGGAGTCGAACCCGGATCGTGTGGGCTCTAGACCAGCGAGCTCCCGACTGCTCCATTGCGACGGACAAAGGCAGTCAGCATCTAGCCAGATAAACCCGCCTTTAGACTTTTTTCCTTTCTTCCTGAGCATTATTTTGGTTCGAATGCTATGAAAATCATTCTGTTAACCCATTTCATTTCATTTTTTGTTTCTTTTAATTACTGTACATATTAAGATACGAGATTTCTAAACCAAAATCTTATCTCTTAAAGAAGTATCCGTTATTTCCTCGTTATCCAATCTCACCTTGTTCATACGTGTCAAAATGGCCAACACGGACGACAGCTCGACTCTTCGGATCGATCACCGCCACATTCAACCCTCGACCACCAGCGTTTAGATCTTTCGAAAACACGTATCTACAAATACATAGATATGCAATGAAAGAGAACGAGCAACTTCTGCACACCAAAGTGATTCCAAAACCAATTCAAAACTAAACCGACCAAGCCAGTCAAAGCAAGGTTAGATCCTGGCCTGGCTTCTGGCCTTGCCCAGAAAAAGTGTCTGGACTTGTCTGGCTTCTAGCCAGGCTCTGGTCTTCTAGCCAGGCTCTGGTTCTGGCCTAGCAGAACCGGTTGGACTGAACACCGAAATGAACTCACTTTTCAGCCACACACATCTTCGGCGTGTCATCCTTGTTCTGGCCCGAGTAGAAGTGCATCGGCATCTCTTCTGAAAAATGAAAGATTTTGATAACACAAGAATATAGATTTCCAGCGAAGCTTAACATTAGACATTAGAAGCTACTCACCACTCCCGCATGGTTGATCTCTGCCGCAATTCTCCCAAAACTCGCCCAATCTCACATCACTTCGAACGGGCTCCAAGAAATCGGCCAAAATCGACTCATCGACTCTGAGAATTTGTTATTTTAACTTGTTATATTGTTTATTTTACCTAACAACTCCTCCATTTTGTAGATAAGAGACATTGCGGAGATCGCCTAACGGAAATCCGTAACAATCGTTGAGCATCGATGCTGGAGAGATCTCTTCCGAAAGCGGGGATGTCTAAAGGTAAAAAGTTGACAGCTTTGGTCTAATGTTAAGCTTCAAGCTGTTAAGCTGTTTATCAATGAACTAGATTTAATTTCTCTTTAGTTCTTATCATTAACTTTTACCATTTCCAGAGCATTCCCTTCAACGAGACCCCATTGACCCAAAAGTGCATAGGCGTCACCGTGACGCCAATCATGAATCTAGAAAAAAAAGAAATGGAATGTGTACAATAAAAACCTACCGTAAATACTGTAATAGTACCCCACCCCCTCGTACAGTCGCGTAGTCGCAAAAGTTTTTTAGTATTTCATTTTTTTTCAAAGCGCCCACACTTTCAAAAAATGCGTCTTTGGTATCAAAAAATAGCCCTGAATTTCAGCTTTCATTTGATACTTAAGCACATACTGTAGCATAAAAGAGTGGCGAGAAAAATGCGTTTAAAGTTTGACTACGCGACGCTCCGACCGTCATTATAGGGAAGCGTAGTCGCAAATGTTTTTTAGTATTTCATTTTTTTCAAAGCGCCCATACGTTCAAAAGATGCGTCTTTGGTATCAAAAAATAGCCCTGAATTTCAGCTATTTTTTGATACCTAAGCGCGCATTGTAGCAGAAACCAGTATCGAGAAAAACTCGTTCAAAGCTAGACTACGCAATGCTCCGCACCGTCATTATGGGGCTGGGGTACTATTACAGTATTTACGGTATGTATCTAGACTTTGTATCTAGACTAACAAAATTAAACATTTAAAAAAGCTACTCACTTTCTTTGCGCCAAATAAACTCAGTAATTTTCGTGCATCTGGAGAGATATGTTCGGCCACATCACCCAACGAGACAACCAGAATAGCTCGATGTTCTCGAAAATCCCTGCAAAGTAACAAATATTTTGTGAAAGATAATATAAATGCTAATGTAATAGAAATGCTAATGTAATATAAATGCTAATATAAAAACAAGATTAAATAAATCAATGAAGTCAAAGATTAAACAGTAAAAGTCATCAGCACTCACTGAAGCCAACTGATCAACTTCTCGTCAGTCTTTTCGACGTCAAACGTCATCAACTTTTCCACCATCAACTCCTCTAAAACTTTTGCTTATCAAAGCTTACAGCTACAAGCTTCACAAATGTGTCATTGTTATGAATTTGTTATGAATTTGTTATGAAATTGTTATGAAATTAGCCAAAGATCCCTCACCACTCAAAACAACGACATTCAGTCCTTTCTTGAGATCTTTTGCTTCGAAAATTCTGAAACCATTCTTATCATAAGATTTTGTTTTCTTTTAACTTGATATCATTTAAACATCCAAACGGTGAGGAGTGATGTGTCTCAGTGCCAAGTTTGACCACCAGTTCAGGTGATTTGCATTCCGGATCGAACTCACAAATGGTCACATCTGAATGTCGTCATTTTTATGATTGAATTTCCCCCTAGCTACCCAGCTTTTGTTCCATCGATGCAGCTTTTTCCAATTCGTTTAGAGATTTCGGATGAACAAATGGTTGATTTCCGTGAGAAACTAAAGCATTGAATGTTCAGTAATTGAAGCAGTAAGAAGACAAGTAAAGTTGAGCTGGAAATTTGACTCAAAACCGATAAATTTATCGTTAACAGCTTTAAAAACCGTATTAGAAATTCCTGTTCATAATAATCTATTTATAATATCTTTATTTTACATTTATCGATGAGATTTTGGTTTTTACTTTTAAAACTTGTTTAGTTGTACTTGTTTAGTTGTACTTGTTTAGTACTTTACTTGTACTTGTACTTATTTAGTACTTTTAAAAATCTAGATCACTGATTACTTTAACAGGAATTTCTAATACAATTTTTTAAAACTGTTAACGATAAATATTTCGGTTTTGAGTCAAATTTCCAGCTCAGCTTTACTTGTCTTCTTACTGCTTACTTCTTACTTCTTACTGAACATTCAATGTAAGCTTTACTTTACTCAGCTTTACTTGTCTTCTTACTGCTTCAATTACTGGACATTCAATGTAAGATTTTAAAAAGTACTAAACAAAACGAAAATCTCATTGATAAATATAAAAAAAACATATTATAAATAAATTTTCCAAAGAAAAACCCACCACTCCGTATCCGATCGGCATTTGTTTCCGGCGTGAAAAAAGCGATTCGCGTCAATAAAAGAATAGTGCAAAGTAATAGGCAAACCGCCAAAACTCGTTGTGAAGCTAATCGAGGAAGCATTTTGTTGAAGAAAAGTACAGTTTGAAATAAAGTACAGTTGTAGAATTGATCAAATCTTTCTTACAACCATTCTGAAAGTGAGTTTTCAATCAAAAATCCATCGAAAAGAGATCGACAATCGTTTTCGTGTGTGTCTTTCTAAAGAAAAAGAAGAAGAAGAAAAAAAATGGGCAAGTATTTGTGAAGAAAGCATGAAGGAATGGTGTACAAAGGTTTGTCTTGGAGTGGTAATAATTTAGCCACTGCAGGCGCCAATTAGTGAAGTGGGAAATGCTTTGAAAAGGGAAATGAGAGGTGTTCTGAGAGTGTGTTGTTTGATGGCAGAAATGTCGCACATTTTGAAAGTTGTTTAAACTTTCAATCAATGAAATCCGAGTTCCAAGGATAAACTCAATAAAATAAATCGATTCGATCAATTAATATAAATGAATTTTTCACAAAAGGTTAAAGAAAAATGTCTGAAATTGAAAAAGGTGAAAAAAGACATAAAACAAATGATTTTCTCAATGCAAAAAGGGCTATTTCTGTGAGAGGAAGTGGTTTTTTTTTTACAATATCACGTTAATTTATATCTCTCGTTTATTATGCTACTTAAAGAGGAATTGTTGAAATGTTTTTTCGATTTAAATACATACAGTACTGGACAATGAAATATCATATTTGAAAAAAGATCGTTACTTTCGCGCGTTTGTAACTTCCTTGTCTTTACCGTATTTCTAAATATTAATATTACCATTGTGTAGCCCTTGAAAAGAGCTTTCAGAAAATGTATAACACTAATAGTTTAAACTCAAAGACAAGGGAGTTACAGACGTGCGAAAATGACGATCGTTTTTCAAATATCATATTTCATTGTCCAGTACTGTTAAAAGAAAACGTATATAACTCAGCGCTCGCGATTTTTTGCAATAATTTTTGCTAAAAGTACGGTAATTTTTCCTAAATGTGTTTTAAAAAACGCATTACTCGTGAGGAAAACACTTTATTGATAACCCTAGCCGAGCAGTACAAAAAATGCTATGCGGCACGATCTGAAAAATAGTTAAATTCGAGTTTGGGACCTCTAAAAAATCGTCTTTTTCCGTCTTTTTCTTTAAAACGTTTTTAGAGTCAATTACAATAAAAGTAAATGCTTTTTGAGCTCTTGATGATGATCTTGATTAGAGTGTGTTCCTTGCGACTAAGTAATTACTCGAGTAAAATTTGCATGAGGAATTTTTTTACTTGATTAATCGACGTTTTTCGTCGAGTAACTACGAGTAATCCTCTTTACACGCCGAGTAAATTCAATATCTTTACATTGGAAGGGATTTCCCACAAAATCCGTTAAACGGCTGAGTATCTTTCAAAAGTGTCGTAGAAAATGCAGCGCTCGTGATTTTTGCGCCATTTTTTTGCAATTAATTTCTGACATTCATTTTTTTTCTAACGCTATTCAATTGTTATTGTTTATTGTTTTTATTGTTATTGTTTATTGTTAAGGTTTTTCCAGATGAACCTGGATTTTTTTTGGGAAAAATCACTGAAAACAGCTTGTAAAGCAAATTTTTCAGTTTCAGTTGAAATTTGAAACTTTTTAATTGATATTTGCTTTAGATCATGGTGAAGTCGCCTTTCAATCAGCCATATCTTGCTTCTCAAGTCGAAAAGAAGCCATTTTTTTGAGAATATCTTGACGATGGACGAGAAGTGGATTCACTTCGATAACACTCATCGAAAAAGACAAGGGTCAGATGCCAATTCCAACTCCAAAACCGGATTATCATTGGCACAAAGTGATGTCGTCTTGCTGGTGGAATATCAACGAGCTTGTTTATTTCGAATTATTAGAGCCCGAAAAAACAGGTGATTCACTTTGTTTTATTTAATAGCTCAAGAAAGTTGACCAAATTTTGCGTCAAAAGGGTTTAAATCCCTCAATTGTCAATTTTCTCCGTGACACCGCGCCAGCTCACACAGCGAAAGCTTCTTGAATGGAGTTAGACAAATTATGATGCAAGATCTTACCGCCATATAGTCCAGACTTATCACCATTTGGTTTTCACCTCTTCAAATCGATGCAACATTTCCTTGTGAATTTAAGAATGCGCAAGTGATCGAGATTTGAATGACCGACTACTTTCAATCAAAGAATCAAGAGCTCTTCGATTCAATTTTCCTTCGATTTTATTTCAATCAAGAGCTCTTCGACAAGGGGATCTGAAGCAACGTTGGAGGGATTTTAAAGATAACGATGGTGCTTATTGTTTGAAATAAATTGTTATCTAAAGGAATTTTGATGAAATCTAATGTTTATAATTTAATGTTAATGTTTTAGTTGGATGGTTTATTCAAAGATCTATCGGTATAACCTTTTGCAACCAGTTCAATCAATCAAATCTATTCGAGATTCGATGAAAGGAAAAGAGCTAAAAGCGTTTGCTTAGACGAATTTAGTGGAACAGATAAAAGGAAAAAAAGATTTTGTGTTTTGTTTGTGCCTCTATGATTCTCAATCAAATTCACTCTTGCTGATCCTTTGATTTTATTCGTTTTTTTGCAAATACAATAAGTTCTCAAGAGAAAACGTGGTTCTTGTCTTTCGGGAAAAAAACAAGCTGTTTTCTCTCTCTTAAAACGAGCGAGAGGAAAAGATCGCCAATAAAAATGAAAAATTTTTGTTGAATTTTATGCCGAAGATAACCCAAACAAGTACCGGTATTAACGTTATTTTTTTTCCTTTCATCGTGTATAAAAGTGCGCTGTGAAGTGAGAGTTCAAATCCAAATCGGCTTTCCATTCGAAGACAACAACTTTTGGTGAGTGCCTTTTTCAAATTTATCATTTAATTCTTGGCAAAATAAAACAATAAAATATAAAATGTTATTCAGGCAATGATGTCATCAAAACTTATGCTTCTCTGCCTTCTCGTTCTCTTTTGTGGACTGATGATCACTGTGGAAGGCGGTGTGAGTTTTAAAAGTGATGAGAATTCAGTAAAATCATCAATCATGAACAGAATATCATGAATCGAAGCTCCTCTTTGGATCAATCTTTTGATTCACAGAGATTTTGATGACAAGTGATTGATCAAGGGATCAAAACACGGACAATGTTGTTAAATATTAAAGTTTACTGAAGTTTATTGAAGTTTACTGATGTTTACTGAAGTTTACTGAAGTTTACTGACGTTTACTGACGTTTACTGAAGTAAGAATCCAAATTTCATTAGCTTTATTTAGTGCTTTGATTGTGCGCGCCGTATTTGTGGACCCCCGTGTGCGACTAGTCAATCGGCATGCCAAAACTGCAGGCAAATCGATTGTGGATGCTAGAAAGGAGAAAGTTAAAGCAAACGATTCATTTACTCAAATATCTTTTAATGATTCAATAAACAATTCCCGACATTTCATAGAATATACAAACATTTAATTAAATCTTTGTTTTTTTGTGAATTCTCAAAAAAACTGAATTAAAAAAGCAAAAACGATTGAAAACTGTGCACCTTCCGTGGACAGTTTTGTGTTTGATCATTTGTTATTGAATTGCTGTGTAGGTTATTTGTGTAGGTTATTTGTGTAGGTTATTGACTTGCTTCATTGTTTGTTGTCTTCATTGTTTCGTAAAGTTTATAATTGTAACCGTTCCTAATCTTAAACACAACACATCCAAATTCTCGCAATTCACAATAGAATAATATTTTTTTTCATCACCAACAACTGTTACAGACGACTTGAAGCTTTTCAAAGAAAGATTTGCTTTTGTTTCGTCGTTAATCCAATCACAGAAATCTATAATTGTCATCGAATAATCTAGATAAATGCTTTGATTTTATTTTGATAGTTTTTGGCTACGTGGCCGGCCCATCTGCGGATATGCGCCAGCTCTCGGAACTCAGAGATCCAGTGGAAGTGATCGAGAGAAAAAGACTCAGATGGGCCGGCCACGTAGCCAAGAAAAAGCAAAAGCAAAAATCTATAAAATAATTTTTTTTGCTCGTCGCTGTTTTGGGCGTTTTTGCATTGGCGCTGTTTTGGGTGGCGCTATTTTGGGTACGGCGCTATTTTGGGTGGCGCTGTTTTGGTCGGCGCTGTTTTGGCGGCGCTGTTTTGGGATAGACCCTTTCAGTCATGTGCAAGAGTCTTTTAACACTCAATTTTCAGGGGTATTTTGAGAATTATCTTTTTTTTTTCTCGATGAATAGTTAACACTAAGTTTTGTATAGCGACAGCGTTTGTGTAAATAAATTATATTTGTGAATTTGGTTAATTAAATTTGTGTAAATAAATTATAAGTACAGATATTTGTGTAACTAAAACTATTAATAGCTTAAGAGCGCCATGAACTTTATCAAAAGTGATGTAACTTTTTAGAAAATTGAGTGTTAAAAGACTTTTGCACATGACTGTTACTCGAGTAATTACTTACTAATTACTTACTCACAAGAAACACACTCTAATCAAGATCATGATAAGTCTGGACTATATGGCGGTCATGATCAAGCTTATGATATCAAATCTACACAAAAATGCCAACAAAAATTTCGTTTTCCGACCTGTTTCCATAGTTGTTATTGTCTAATTGCCTCTCAAGGGCCATTTTGTTGAAATTTTGTTAGTTGAAGCTTATTTGAGCATGACAAAAATCTGTTTTCAATGAATGGAAAGGGGAGAGAGGAGAAATCTTCACTCATGTGGAAGAAGTTGTCTCTTTTCTATTCAAGTACAAAAGGCGATTCACTGAATATACGAAAAGTGTGATCATTATGGAAAATGGAGAAATTTTGCATACATACATAATATATTATTTTATTTATTGTACTTTATTTGAGTCTAATCTTTGAATAGCTTATTTTAAGGCAATGTTTAAGGCAATGCTACAATGAAAATTAATCTTAATCTTAATAAAATGAAACTTTATGAAGTCCTGAAAACAATTTTATTGTACCTATCAATGGAATTTTTGATTTCTGAAACTTTGGTAACAGTTTTCTTTTCGTTTTTCTTTCGCTGACCCAGTATTAGCTCCGATATTTCACTTTTTTTTCTTTCTTCTGACCTTGAAATCCTTGACCATTTTGCAAAAACGAAAAAAAGGAAAATTTACACAGTTTATACTAGTTTATTCCTTGTTTGTGCGAAAAAAAAATGGAGAATTACATGAAAGTGGGGGGAAAAGGGAAAGGAGAGAGAGAGAAAGAAAGAAAGAGTAAGGGGACCCCCTCTTCACTCATATTTCCTTTCCGAATTTCATTTCCATCCCCTAAGCAAACATTTTAACACCACAGGCCTGTACATTTGTTATTTCTTTTCTTGGTTTACCAAATATGCTTCGATTTCAGTGTCAACATTTCCCTTAATTGCGATTTAATATTAGGTTGAGGAAAAAGTAATGTCGCTTTTTGTCACAAAACTGTTTATTGCTAAAAACATAAATCAATGAGATATTCTAAATTATTTGATGACTTGTTCCCATTTTGTCGCAAATCCCTGATCTCTGGAGAGGATGCCTGAGAAACGGCAACCACATCTAAGGAAGGCAGCAGGCGCGCAAATTACCCACTCTCAATTCGAGGAGGTAGTGACAACAACTAACGAGACTGCTCCCTTTGGGAACAGTCATCGAAATGGGTACAATTTAAACCCTTTAACGAGGATCAATGAGAGGGCAAGCCGCGGTAATTCCAGCTCTCAAAGTGTATGTCATTATTGCTGCGGTTAAAAAGCTCGTAGTTGGATCTGAGCCTTTGGATACGGTTCACCTCTGTGTGATACTGGATCCGGGGTTAAATTCGTCGGTTCTCCGGCGAGAGTTACTCTGAATAAATCAGAGTGCTCAAAACAAGCGTTTCGCTTGAATGTTTTTGCATGGAATAATGGAAAAGGACTTCGGTTCCTTACTGTTGGTTTCGGAATGGACCTCAAAAAAAAAATGGGGAGTTTTCGAGCCAAAATAAGTGTCGACTGCTTTTTTTTGATCTGTGCATGATTCTCGAACTTTTCTCCCACTAAGAAAACTCTTCAACGACCGAAACAAAAAATAATCTGATGGGGTCAGGTCCGGACTATAAGGTGCGTGGGGCAGAAGTTTCCAACCAAGCTCGTCGATTTACCTTATTTAAAATCATACCACAAAGCGGCTCGAAGTCGAAACTTTTCGTCTTGTATTTTGTACCTGAAAATATTGTTAAATTTGCAAAAATTTGTAAAAATCAAATATAATATGAAAGTATAGAAGCGTCTAGCTGATATCAATTTGAAAAAAAAAGTCGCATAGGCAAAGAAATGAAAAATTGCCAACAACGGGAATTCAAAACCGACATTACTTTTTCCTCAACCTAAGATCTCAAGGCCTGACCTCTTATTTGCTATATCCTGTCGTCATTAAGAGATTATAGAGCGTATTGCTCATTTATGCTAGCTTTATCTCATAAGAAGAAAAACATAAAGACATAACATAGCTTTATCTCATAAATTTTGTGATAAAGGCAAATTTTTATCTAATGCTTTAACTTTTGAGAATACATTTTTTGGCACTGTCATTTGTTTTTGTTGCTGGTGCGCCGGTCGGTGCTGGCGCGCTGGTGCGGGCACCAGCACCAGCGCTGGTGCTGGTGCGCTGGTGCTGGTGCGCTGGTGCTGGTGCGCTGGTGCTGGTGCGCTGGTGCCAAGAAGATGACACCAAAAAAATTATTTTTTTGAAATACAGCTTCTCTGTAAAAAATTTTGTTGGCCAAAAATAGAGATTATAGAGCGTATTGCTCATTTATGCTAGCTTTATCTCATAAGAAGGAAAAAAAGAAACCATAAAAGAGAACCATCTCGTTTTTCTCGTGCAAAAAGTAAGCTGAATTTAAGCTGAAAAATCATCCTCTTTCCAAAAATCTCTAAAATTTTACGGGGAAGCTGCACTCATTTTTTTTACGAGTCATCTCTTGGAGTCGACTTGTAAATAATAGAAGAAAAATGTTCTTGAATTAGTGGATTCGTTTTTAAGAAATTCCAGTCAAACTTTTTTCTGAGAATTTTCTTTCCAACCTAATACTCTAATAAACATTTAAAAAAATCAAAATTCAGTTCTTTTTTTGAATTATAGCAAAAAGGTACCTGTTTTTTTCCCAAAATGATATTCAGTTTTGCAGAAAACATGGAGAAATGAGAAATGATTCCATTCCATTTCGAGTCCCTTTCCTTGCCCCGAAATTGAGTCTTCAAGAAACTTGATAAAAAAAAAAGAGAGCAGAAAATATCTACTCAAAATATTGATCATGTGATTTTCTTTCTTTTATTGAAACCGGTGAATGTCCTTGTGGCTTTCATTTCTGATTTTGTGATTCGATGGAAATTTTTACGATTCAATCCGCTCTTTTTCTTCTTTTTCTTCTTCTTTTCTTTAACCCATCCCATTCACTTTTCTGGAAATGATTCAAGAAAGAAAAGGCTTTTCTTCATATTCTTCTTTTATTTCCTTATTTTTCTACTTAAAACTGTTTTAAATTTGGTTTTATTTTGAGTTTAAATCATCAAATTATCAAACCGAAACTTGCTGAAACATTCAAGATTGAAAATGACATAAAATTTCTGATTTCAATTGCTGATTTGATCCTTTAATACCCTAAACGGTAGATTATTAATAAACCAATTTAATACTTTAATCGTTTAAGATTCTAAGAAGGATGAAAATTGAGTAGGTAAAGTTTTTTGATATTCCGGTGTTGGAGAATATAGACGTATTACGGAGGATGCTTAGATACCAAATTTATTTTCTAACTTATAACAAACTTTTGAGTATTAACTGAATTTTGATCTTTTAATGTCTTTCGATGTCTTTTGTTTTTAAATCTAGAAACTACTGCCATAATTGCAGCTTAATTCGTTGACGGGGGTTGAGCTCTTAGGGTCGAGAGTTCGATTCCGAGTAGAGTCAGAAAATAGGCAATTTTTGAGTTTTCGAAAAAACGCTCGAACAAGGTCTTCTTATTTTTAATTCTCTATCTAATACCAAATTTTTAGCCAAATCGGTCGACGGGGGACCGAGATTTCGAAGATGTACATTAGATGATGTACATTAGATGATGTACATTAGATGATGTACATTCGACGGTGTACATTAGATGGTGTACATTAGATGGTGTACATAGAACTTCCCAAGAGAAACGTCACGTCTGCTTGACAGACGGACGTGACAGAGTCTACGAATCCCTGCCTCCATGCATAAATGCCTAAACCGTTTCTACATAAAACCAAAATTGAATAGATATTTTAGGAACTTTTCCACTTTTTAGGAAACAAAAGCTGCTTACTAAAATGCAGTTAGATGTAAAAGTCTACGA